AGACACCTTCCATCTAAAACTAAAATTATGGAAACGCTACCTTGATGATAATATTGTTATTTGGCCTCATGCCCACTAGATTGTCTTAGCCATTTAAACTCTACACACCCTAACATACGTTTTATCATTGAAGTAGAAAGTGATAATAATCTCCCATTCTTAGATATTCTCATCAATAGAAAATCAAACCTGATATTTGGTCATTGTTTTTACAGAAAACCTACGCACACAGACCGATACCTTAACGCATGGTCACATCACCATCCGTCACAAAAATCGTCGGTTATCAACTCTTGTTTACAGCCATAAAACTATCTCAGCACGAAGCACTGAATGCAGAATTAATTAAAACACCTTACATCTGCTCTTCTCTCTAATAATTACTACCTTAGAAATCACAAATCCATCCATCACAAAATACACTTCTTCGCAACCTTCTAAAGACAATTCTTTGCAACTCCGCAATTGCAACGGTTTCTGCCACATATTCTTATTCACGTCTCAACATCTTCGATTAGTCAAGGACAAAATTCCGTTGAAGATACCAGGAGTTTACAGCATTCCATGCAGATGCATGTGTTGCCTCGGCTAGCCAATCGGAAATAAACAACAACTGATGTCGTACTTTCTGTTTTCCTTTCAAAACTGAATTACACGCTTACACATTTGGTAATTTAACAAGACAAATTAACAAAATAATACTCGCCAAATTGGCGCGTAGCGTATCCCGCTACCGTCTTCTTACCCCCCACAGTTACTAATTCAATGATGCGTTTCACAGAAAACTGTTGGGCACGACTACCAGGATCATTCGCCCATTGCCGACTTCCGTCGAGGATTCTCGGATCTTCTCCAGGAAGGAGACAGAATTTTGAAGTTTTAAATGTCGAGGATTTTCGTATCTTCTCTGGCGAAGAAGACTGATTTTTGAAGTTCCAAATGTCGAGGATTGTCAGATCTTCTCCAGCGAAGGAGACTAAACTTTAAAGTTCCAAATGTCGAGGATTATCGGATCTTCTCCAGCGAAGGAGACTAATCTCAGAAGTTCTAAATGTCGAGAGTTTTCGGATCTTCTCCAGCGAAGGAGTTCTTTTGAAATTCTAACTAATATATATGATGATTAAAACCAACCCATAGACCATGAGCTAGCAAATCCAAAAGCGGTTATAAGCAGATACCACATGCATCAAGGAATCTAACCACAAGTCGTGCAACAAAATCCATACATCCAGGGTGAAAAAGTGCAGAAAAGGCACTAATAGGAGCGTATAAGCTGGCATCAATGAGGGACTCATACAAAATTTGGGAGTTATTCCGATGCAGAGCACAATCAAACAAAATATGTTCAATATCTCCCACCCCTCCACAAGCACACCGGTTAGATATTTTGACGTTTATCTTGTAAAGATGTGCTGGGGAACTACAATGATTACTCCTCATTCTGCACACTGTTGTAATCTCCTTTCTAGACAGCTGCAGTTTATGGAACCATGGAACTGTGGAGGTGTCTTATAAACTGCACTATAAAGTCTACCCTTTGAACGGCCCCACTCTCTCCACTTGATGGCCCAGATGTGCCACATCTTTGCTCTAATTATCGGGATAAATTCACTAAAACGGGGCCTTAAATTCAGCGGGTCTAAAAGTCTAGCTTCAGAGGCTATTCTATCCACCGTTTCATTATGTCTTATCCCCGAATGGCTTGGAATCCAGCATAACGATATTTTCCCCCCAAGTCTGCGCTTCAAAATATCAATCTTTGCTTTAATATCTAGTAGAATGTAGCTGTTGGAGGCTTCAACCGCACTGCATCCGAAGCTCTGCAGGGCACTTTTGGAATCGGAGACAATTACTGCCTGTTTAATATTATAATCTAATATAAGATCTAGGGCGTAACTAATAGCTACCATTTCTGCAGAGCAAATACAAAACGCGCTATTCAACCCATGCCCGACCCTAACATTGAGAGACGGAATAAATACTAAAAAGCCAACTCTATCATCTGGTCCCTTAGAGGCATCGGTAAATATAAATGTCTCTTCCCCGGTCCACATTTTAGAACAAAATTCCCGAAACTCAGTTTCATTTAGACCCACCCCTTTCTCAATTTTGGAATCAACAAAATTAATAGGCGTAAGCTGAGGGGCCAGGTCCTTATTAAAACACGCTAGAACATCTCCACTATCGATAATATTATGATATGTGGCGGTGTAGTCAAATGCCTCAACTAAGGGTAAATTCGCCTTCCTTCTAAAAAAGTTATGATTTTCTTGTTAGGCAATATATAACCGTTAGGTAGCTAAGAAACTGGGATTATTTCTGATTCTAAGGGACTTGACCAAAAACTTAGAAGCCAACATAATCCTCCTCACCTCCAAACTTGTTTCACAAGCCTCTCCCAATAAAATATTAATTGGAGTTGATTTCATCATACCCAATGTCACTCTTAAAGCCTGATATTGAATCCTATCCAGACCAGACAGGGTTTTTTTCCCACAACACCGCAGTACCATAGAACCATAATCAAGATGGGAACGCACAAAAGCTTTATAAAATATCAGAAGAGTAGACGGGTGGGCTCCCCACCATGTCCTGGATAGAAATCTCATAATATTAATTCCACTAGCTGCCTTGTGAATCATTCTGCCAACCTGTGGAACCCACGTAAGCTTAGCATCAAATGTAACTCCCAGGTACCTAATTTCATTTTTCCAGGGAATATTTACACTGTTAATTACCAAGTCGGGAAGTCCAACCAAAGCAGATCTAGAAAATAAAATAGCAGACGACTTTTGCGGACTAAGCTGCAAGTTAAACCTATGCATCCAATCAGCCACTGCCACCAAGGCTTTATTCATCAAGCCTATAGCAAAGAGGACATTGACATCGCTACATAGAAGAACAATATCATCCGCATACTGGAAAATAGAAACCCTATGAGGAATTACTAATTAATTGAATTTACGTATATATTGAATAAAAGAGGCGCTAAGGGAGATCCCTGAGGGACCCCCTTACTGGTTGATCTAGGTCCGACCAAAAGGTGCCCAACAGCATCCTTAACAAATAGGTTCCTGTTGAGGAGAAGTCGATTGATTAACCCTATAGCATCCCTAGGTATACCCTGCTTATCCATCTCTTTTATTAGCATGGGGATGTTAACATTATCATAAGCACCCACAATATCCAATGCAACCATAACAGTAGGAACACTTTTGCTCTGAGCACACAAAATATGACTTGTTATGATGGAAACATTATCCATAACGGACTTACCGCGCCTAAAGCCGGTTTGAGATTCTGATAACAATCTGTGATGTTCAAGAAACCACTCTACTCGGCACTTTAATATTGACTCCAGCACTTTACCGAATGTAGATGACAAATTAATCGGCCTATAAGAACTAAGAAGATTAGGATCCCTAAACGGCTTTAATATTGGAACAACCAGCTGCGTCTTCCAACTATCAGGTATACTGCACTCATTTCTCAATAATTTGTTGTAAAAATTCACTAAGAACACGGCTCCCTCTATTGGTAGATGCTTTATTAACTCAAAAGAAACTCTATCCAAGCCGGGGCATGTGTTTTTACGACTTCTAACTACAGCGATAAACTCATCAAGAGTAAACAAGGGAGAAACTGCAGTGTTGTTATCCCCCTCTAAACTTGTCTCCTCTACGACAACATCGACATGACCCACTAAGGAGTCCAACAATTCCGCCGGTACTGAAAAGTTAAGTGGGAGGTGACAATTAGCCTGGTTAATAGCCTTTGAAAATCTTTTCACACATTTCCATACATACCTAGCACTCTCATTGGGAGATAAACTCTGGCAAAATTTTTTAAATCCCGCCCTTTTCTTTTCCCTAAGAAATTTTCTACAGCTGGCCCGAGTTCTTTTTACATTAACATAATTCTCTAGAGTAGGGGAAATTTTATAATTTCTAAAAGCCTCTCTCTTTTTAGCGATCATTAACGACCACTCGTGATCCCACCAAGGAAGTCCACATTTACGCCCGCTCTTATGAAGGGGTATGGAAGCATCAGCCGCATCCATGACTACCTTGTAGAACTGGTCGTATGACGTAATAAGGGGGTTGCTTAAACCAATACTCATCAATTCAGAGAATTTGTCCCACTCTGCCTTAGAAACATTGTGCTTCAGGAGATACGCTTGAGCAGGATGATGTAAACTGTCCGGTTTACACCGAATATGACACAGTATCGGGAAATGATCACTAAACCCTCTGTCGAATAACACCCGGAAATCGGCAACATGAGCCAATTCGTGTGAACAAAATACCAAATCGGGGACAGAACGGGAGTCATTCCCTGTAAATCGAGTGGCAGACCCGTCATTAAGAATAAAGAAGTTGTTATCATTAATAAAGTCTGATAGTAAAGAGCCGTTAGCCAGACCGACATAGCTTTTAATTGTAGAGCCCCACTCTTTATTATGAGAATTTACATCACCAGCAAAGAAAACGGGTTTTGACCTAAGTCTATCAACCAAAGTGTCTAAGAACAAACGAGACATAGGAAGGTCAGGAGGATTATACATCGAAACTAGAAAAAGGCTGTCCATCTCCAACACTATAACCTGACATCTATCCGGCCTGGGGATATCTGACACATCTAAAACATTATACCCGATGTTGGAGCGTAAAAAAACAATAATCCCTCCATACCCATCCATACGATCGTCCCTGACAAAGGAGAAACCAGACAAGGAAAACTTGATATGTGGGAGTAAAAAAGATTCATTAATCATGACTATATCCGGACCAAAGTCACGAATAAGTCTAATAATACTATCACGATTATTTCTAATACCGCAAGTGTTCCAGTGAATAATTGAGAAATTACTAATTTTAACAGAAAGATTTGACTGTCGATCTGGTAACATTAATAAATTAAAACCTGCATCCTCCGGGAGGAGGCAGGGAGTCAAAAAGACTCTCAATTTCATGGTACGCACTTTTACTGGATATATTGGACAAAACTTTTTTCTTTAAATTTTCAAACCGATACCAAAATTCACCAGAGGAAGAAACCCCTGGAGAAGCAGTGTCCATCTCGGACTCTGACGATAAGTCATTTAAATATGAGGGAGAAGATTGACTTTTGCCAGTGTGATTCAACTTCTGCCTAGTCAAAGGCGGCACGAGACAATCCCTGTGGGCGTCCCTATCATACCCTGGTTCTATTTGGGGGGACTTACGCTTTTTTGCTATGACAGAATAAGTTTTAGAAGCAGATCTAGGGGAAGGCTGAGAGACGGGGGCAACCGTGTTATGAATAGGAGGGAAATTTTCATTAGAGCGATTAAACTCACTTGATTTGGGGCCTCTTGGAAAGAGTTTGGCCGCTTCAAAAAAGGATAGGTTGTACCATGCCATAGCCTCATTGATTTTCTTCTGTCTGTCCATTTCCGGACATGATCTATCAGTGGCCTGATGAGAGCCTTTACAGTGGATGCAAGTTGGCTTTGGAGATATTTCGCAATTACCCAGGCTGCATTTACCTTCATGATTTAAGTGGTCTGTCGGGCATGGTTTCTTCTTATAAAACTGTTCTTTCAGTTCACAATGAAATACTGGATGATCTCCAGCGCAGAAACTACATCTACCCTTGCTTTTGCATTGGTTTTTCCAATGACCAAACCTGCAACAATTCATACATAAGACAACAGGACTAACATATTTTTCATTTGAACACTCATTTTTATAGATACAGATTGATTCTGGAAGAGTTTTACCCTCAAATGTTATTATATAATCATTAGATGGAACTGTCTTGAAACCAAAAGTGCCAATCAGAACACCTGGGCATTTGACCCTTTTAGTTAGTCTGCGAACATTAACAATCTTAACGCGCTTTAGCGATCTTCCGATGTTAACCTTGACTTTTGCCTCAGAGTAAAAATCATCCTCATCAATTAAGTCACCAATGTCCCTCACCAACCCTCGGCAAGTGACTAGTCTTTGAGGTATATACTTATTATACCCACCAGCTGTCGAATATGTTTCATTAGATAAAAATTTATTTGCAGACTCAGAGGTGTTAAACTCCAAACCGATTTTATTGGCTCCTTTTCTAGAAATTTTCAATATCCCTTGAACTTTCTGCGCTTGAAGTAACTTCCCAAAGTTCATAGGATGAAGAGTCCCCACTTTACCTGTAATCCCCTCCACAATCACCATAAAAGGCCCCTGATCGGTGATTTCATATTTTGTTTTCCGATTTACTGTCCTTCTTATGTTTGCGGAGATTTTGGCAACTTCCCGCAGGATTTCAGCGTCTTGCTCGAACTGATTCTTGATAATCTGGATCTCTGCCGATAACTTTGACAACTCTTCACCTGAGGGCACATCAAAATACTGGAGCCTAGAAATATCTTCAGCAGTTTTTTGGCAATCCGGTGGCAAAATGTTACAAATAATGGCGTTCAACGGACGATTTTGAGAATCAATGGATAAACTGTCATTTTCTTGTGCAGCATTAACCGTCGGGGGGCCCTCGCCCCCCGAAGAGTCCCCCATGGTTAAGGTTAGAGGGCCAAGAGGAGGAAACTACCAGCCACAGAAACTGATATATAACTGGATGCGTTAAATGGACTCACCAAATAACAGAAAACAATTAAGATTAGGGCCGATGCCTAAAGATTTGCACAACAATACTCAGGTAGTCTTCACTCCTTCGCTGTTGTACCGAAAAAACTTTTCCCCACAGTTACTCATTTCGCCGTTCTCACTCGTCTTCTTCTTAACTTCTGACACTTTACCACAAATGCAACTGGGACAAGGTATTGGGCGCACCACATGCACCAAAGGAAATATTGGAGAGACCGCACAAAAAAATATCGGCTAGACTCAAAGAACATGAAAGAGCCTTAAGACAAGGACAAATACACTCATCAGCAATTGCCGAGCACAATCACGAGACCGGACATAAAATTTTACTCAATAAAACTAAAATTCTTGCATGTAATTGTTCTACCAATGAAAAATCCGAGATTCTATAGAAATCTATAAACGATCCAACAATCTTAACCGCGACTCAGGTCTTCATCTGTCACCAGTATGGGAATCAATTAATTGCCCCTCCTTTGCTCCTCCCCCTCAAAGAACATAAAGCAGGTATAGTGTAAAATACGAGCCAGTTTCAGTTAAGCTCTGAAGAAGTCAACAGGTTGATTAGCGAATCGTCACCAACAACCGACACAAGAGGCATCCCACAGTTTTGTAAATAATATTACAGTATGCTGTTGAACTTTCTTTGAAAAATTAAAGAAAAAAAGGTACTTGTTTTAATAAATGCTCAAACTGACATCCTTCTGCTACTTAACAATGTCTTAAGCATTCTGTGAATTCCCGTGTGGTGTCTTGCAGAGAATCCGCTCTTCTAAGTCAGCCAGGGTATTGGATTTGGTTCTGTACATTTCAGTTTTGTGGTGACCCCAAAGAAAAAAATCTAGATTATTTAAATCGGGTTAATGAGGCGCCTACTCGATAGTCCCTCCTTACCCGAACCACCGACTCCGAAACACATGATCCACACAGATCTTGTCAAAACCAATTGTGGTTATCGCCCTATAGATACAACTTGAAAAATTTCGATTGAAAATTGATTCATCCATAACACAACCACAAAATTGCTTGTCCTTGTCGTTGGGCGGTCTTTTACACACCCCAAATTCTGAAACTAATCTGGCCACAGTTGACTTCGTAAATTGAGAGCTATCTGGGACAATGATTAATATTTAAATTGGTTTGCATTCGCTTAAAAACATTATTATTATTATAATTGATGTAAGACAAACTTAATTTGACATGCAAATAAACCAAAAACTAGACAAACAAAAAATAACGAATTCAATTATTTCTCAAATCATGGCAGTGGTGACCTACCATCTTTTTTAGTAATATTTCATTATGTCGTTCATAAATTTGGGTAAAAGGTTTGCTTTTTACTAAACAACACTATAGCAGTTGCCGTCATTGCAAATTAAAAAGTATAATTTTTCCGAAACTTAACTCCTCTGGGAAATTATACAGGGAGTTACTGAAATGACATTATAGAATTTAGTTAGTGATTTTGAACTCCCACCTTAAGCCGAACTGATATTTTGTTCAGTCTAAATCGCATAAAAAACATTTCGGTAATAATTCGCAATTTTGCTGGCATTTTTTTTTTATTGTCTCTTTTTTTTTGTCTCAATTTTATTTTTACGTCTACGTTACGTTTACGCCTTCCACATTATCTCATTAATGTAAACCGCCTAGGAAAGTCTGGAACCCAGAATCACCATCTGGGATCAGTACACAAATATTGCCGTGACGAAGTACAACGAGCAATTTGCTTGCTTCATATAATGTACGATGGTGTTTTCCTAATGAAAATTGAGGTTTCAATATTATATTGCCTACAAAATTTTTATATGTCGCACATCCCAAAGAAAACTGTATTAAGTGCCCAATTAACAATTTTATAGGAGGAGCATTTAAAGAATTGATATAATACATTTTGTTCTCAGAGTTTATTATATTTTCAAAACCCCAAAAAACTTTGATTTTGTTGACTTAATACAGTTTTCTCAAAAAAAAAATCTGTTTTTTTCCGAATTGTCGATGAAAGGTGAATTAAAACAAACAAATAACTCAAAAATTCATTTATTTCTAAGCATTATTAACACTTAGGTTAACACAATTTTAAAATTTAATTTAAAAGTCATAAAAAACATTTTCAAAAAACCATTAAAACAGAGGCTCGTAAAAATGGAATTTGAAATCCTTTTTTTTATTCTCATTAATTGGGCGTTTTGAATTATACGGTTTTTTAAGTTTGAATTCTGCTGGAGTTATGTACAATGATTTCAACGTAATAAGGATAGGACACCGATGTCAGCATTTGGTCACGATGGTATTATGAAGAGACCGTGAGATTCACATTGTTAGCTTTTCGGATACGATCCTTAGTTTTAGTTTTAGTCTTAGTTTTAAGTAATATTATTATTCTTGTTGTAACTGCTGCTGCAGAAACTCTTATTTTTCGATTGTATTTTGAAAATAAAGTTTTTAAAAAGTCACCTCGTCTTCACTTGAAGATAATTGGCGCAGTCGGTAGGATTGTGCCCTCGGAATTCAGAAAACGAAAAAGCAGAGACAATTAATGTGTGTACGTCGCATCGTGCGGAAAAGTGACACTTACCGAATTAGGATACCCTGAGGAGTGGTTTCAACCGCTACAGCGCAATCCAAAGAACTTGTTGGCGAACCCAGAGAAGACTCTCGTAGGCAGTGTGCAACAAAGGATCAGGGAAGGCAAAACCGTAAGTGCGATTTTTTCCTTTCGCCCCTTTAAGATCCTCCGTTAAGGCTTTTTAAGATGTATCGGACCTCAAGTAGTTAGGGAAGTAAAAAAATTTATTTTGTTTTTTTTAAATCGATCAATTTTTGATATTAAATTGTGAATCAGAATCAGAAATTTTCAAAAATCTAAAGTTTAGTGAAAAAAAAATATCGGAAAAAATGACAGACCAAGTAAATTGGAATTTATTTAAATCAAAATTGCAAAACATTCAACTTTACGAAGGTGATAGCAATACCTTAAATAAGTTTATCAACAGATGCGAAAGCTTAATTAATGGTTACGCTTCCCTTGCAAATTTGGAATTTAATATACATATTTTTGAATGTATCCAGGAAAAACTGGTAGGCAGAGCCGCAGTTCTAGTAGGTAATCGCACAGAACACCTGATAAATTTTGGAGGTAGACTTCAATTGTTAAGGAGCGACATTGCACAGCGTATAAATAACGAGTCTAAATATACACCGGAAGAAAAGCTTTCATATATTAAACATTATGATCAAAGCGACCTAAATACATTTATCGCAGGGTGCACAGGTGTCTTAAAAAACAATATGCATTTAAAAACACCGCAAAGTCTCGAAGACGCCATGCCATATGTAAATGAATTCGAAAATTTTGAAAGATTGTATGGGACTCTGAACGAGCCTTATAAATCTCAAAAACCGAACTTCCAAAATTTAAACAGTGCACCGACAAATCAACATCTTCAAAATTTTTATCAAAGACCGTTTAGCAATAATGCGTTTGTACCACCCAATCTCGCTCAATTTCCAAATCAGCAATTTAGTAACCCCGCACAATTTGGTAACTTAACGCAATTCGGTCAACAACCTTTTAATCAAAATTGCTTTAAGCCCCCACAAAAAATGTTTCCAACTGGCCCAGTTGACGTGAGGCCCAGACAACTACCCCCTCAAAAATACTTTACTTTAGCAACAGTCAAGTTTTCGGTAAACCAAAAAATGTATTTAAGCCCGGACAAACAAACCGACGCGATTTGCCCAAGCCTGAACCTATGTCGACAACGTCTAGGACACCTTCCATAAGACGAGACCAATATCGAAACCAAAACGACTATTTCCGATCGAACCCAAACACGTGAATTAACTTTGTCTTTGAAGAATTACATTCAAATGACGTGACGAACTTCGACAACCAAGACTCTGAGGATAACTTAGATTATTTGGACCCGCGTTTTGAAAATAATTTTCCTCAAGAATATTTTGAGACAATCGATGAATCAATACAATGTCAATTAGAAAATCAAAGCAATCAAAACTTAGATGTATCCCAAAATTCTTGCGAAATAAACGTATCTTCGTATAACCCCCTTCCTTACTTGCCAATTAACTCTTTAAATATTAAATTATTAATAGACACTAGTAGTAATAGATCAGTATTAAAACCTATTATTGCAAGCAGTATTTTTGAGGCTACTATAGCTTTACTTACAGAGTTTGGTATCGATTACGAAATCGATTTTATCCTTTTCGATTTTCACGACTTTTTCGATGGCGTTATTGGATTAACTGATTTGATGAAAATGAATTTAAATATTGACTTAAATAACAAAATACTTTGGAATAAAACAATTCAAATTCCTTCTAAGTTCCAGGAACCCGCAGATTCAAAATTTTCATTTTCGATAAACTCTCATGAGAAAATTATTAAGAATTTGCCAGTTAGCGTTTTTGAAGGCGATATTTTAGTACCACCTACTGAAATAAATAACTTGTTTATTCCTAGAACCCTATCCCACGCGAGAAACGGATTCGCACCCGTTGAAATGAAAAACCACACCTATAAAACCATTAACACGACCTTATTGCAACCAATTCCCGTAGAATCATTTATACAGGAAGCATTCGAAATATATTCTTTTGAAACCATAAAAAAATTCGATAAAAATAAATATTTTCAAAATTCTCCTTCAAAAATCGATATAACCAAATTAATACGGCTATCCCACATGCACTCAGAAGAGCAGCAATCAATCACTAAATTATGCGACGAATTTAAAGACATTTTTTATAAACCAGGCGACGCGCTAACATTTACATCCAAAATTCGACACGAGATAAAAACCACTGACGAAGTTCCGGTACACACAAAGTCATATCGTTACCCGTATGCCCATAAAGAAGAAGTAAGGAAACAAATAAATGAAATGTTAGGGAAAGGTATAATCCGTCCTTCAACGAGCCCTTGGAACTCTCCCGTTTGGAACGATCCAAAAAAAATCGATGCTTCAAACGTACAAAAGTGGTGCGTAGTAATAGATTATCGTAAATTAAACCTTAAGATAATCAACGATCGATACCCCATTCCAAACATTTCTGATATACTAGATAAGTTAGGACGATCACAATACATTTCGGCCTTAGACCTAGCGAGCGGTTTTCACCAGATCGAGATCGCACAAAATTCGATAGAAAAAACAGCGTTTTCCGTGGAAAACGGACATTATGAATATCTACAAATGTCATTTGGCTTGAAAAATGCGCCGAGTACTTTTCAACGCGTTATGGACGAGGT